AGTAGTGGTGATATATTGGGTGGGGTGTTGGGGGGGGTATAGGAATATTCTTCTAGTGGGTTGACTGGTGGTATTATTAGCCAGAATGGGCCAGGGTTCTGCTAACTTAATACGCCCCTATATACTCCTTCCTTTTCAGGAGGTTGGGTTATAGCTCCTATAAACTCACCATAAGCCATACTCAAACTCTTCCTTTCGCAGCTCGCTGTCATATTGCCCCAACGAAACTGTGGTAGTTTGCCAGAATAGGGGGACCCCAATATAGACCCCAAAATTTGATAGTCCTTATTACTGGGACCCCCAAAATGGTACCCCTAATTTTGGGAAATTCCAATGCAGGGCGCCGCCTGAAGAGGGGCTGCATTGGCGGTTTTAGGGTTGAGGATGTACGGGGTTCCATACAACAAGCCAGAAGTTTGGCCACCTCCCATGTCTGTAGGCGTTCTCATGTTCGCAGGGGATCAGGCAATTGGTTCGTGAATCCGGTTAATTTTGCATCTATGTTCCGACATCTTTGGTTGTCATAACCATAGACGCTGCCAAAGCGACTGAAGCTAATTTCCAGGACTCCTATCACCCTCAGATCTGCATGGGTGTATGCAACAAGGGCTCAACATCTCCTGCAACATGCTAACGCGGTTATGGTTTAAAAGGGTTTTATGCTATACGTTTTACTCACAAGCCCGCAATGATTGATCCCTATTCTAGGTGTCCATCATTATTGGACCCCAATATCGATCCTTATCATAGTGACCCCCACATCAAAAAGGGACCCCAAAGCTTTCAAAATCCTAGGTCCTTCATATCCCGACCATATCCCTCTGTTGACAATGTATATCTGAACCTCCCCAAAGCCCCTTTAAAGGGACCCCTGATTTATGGAAAGCCCCCATGTAGGCTCCCTGTCTTCTTCAGGTCTCCGGGACCTGGCGAGGAGAATGAGACTCTGGGCCCGGTCCTTGGGTCAAAGGACAGGCCAGCGATAGTAGTAAGAGACTTTTTCAAGACCATTCTTCACAAGTGGATAGATAGATAGATAGCAGAAGGGGAGCTTGGCAACCCCAACCTCACCTGATATTATCATGTGACAGGCAAGCGGTCCTTCTTTTGGGGGTTGGGTAGCTGAAGGAGCTGTAGCCAAATCCCAGTTCCAGAGTCGCTGTAGTTTATCTTCCGAAGGGTGACGCGTGCCTCCGGCCTAAACCCTAAACCCTAAACCCTAAACCCACAGTATCCTGGGTAGAGCCGGCCTAGATGAAGATTAGGGTTTCCTAAAGTTAGGGGTAACTTTTTAGGGGTCCCTATAATAAGGACTATAGTAGTTTGGGGTCTATATTGGGGTCCCCTTATTTTGGGAAACTACCAAATTCCGTGTTTTATAGATGTCTTCCAAACATGCAACATACCCCCAAACGACCCTAAACCCTAAACGTATGGAATTCCCGTAGCCCCCCCCTTCATCCGTACATACACATACATCCACACATACACACTATATACACTCATCCATCCACGCATCCATCCATCCATCCATCCATCCATCCATCCATCCATCCATCCATCCACGTATCATATGTGCAGTACAGGTTCTTCATATGGATACTATCCGTGACACTATCCCCCAAAACCTCAACCCTAGGCCCTACCCCTCAGCCCTGTACCCTAAATCATCAGTTTCCATTTTCTTTTCCATTATCCCTATCATATAACCCCTATAGAACCCCTATAAAACCCCTACATAACCTCTATATAACCCCTATAGGACCTCTATAGCCCCTACATAACCACTGTAAGACCGCTATAGAACCCTTCTATGACCTTTATATAACCCCTATAGAACCCTGATTTAGCCCCTATAGAACTCCTATATAACCCCTATAGAACCCCTATATAACCCCAGAGAACTCCTACATAAACCCTGTAGAACCCCTGCCTAGATAGAACAACATCTAATAATCCCTGCCCATATATTCATTGGGTGCCATTTCATTTTCCATTTTCTTTTCCATTTGATTCTCCATTATGACCTTAATATAATCCACCCTAAACCCCAAACCCAAAATCCAAGGAACCTTAGTGACCTGTGGGCTTCTTGTCATGCAAAGGCCCTGCAAATCGGCCCGCCTCCTGGGTCGAGGCGCACCCAACCCTTGGATTCCTCCACTTCCGAGGGTCCCCATTGTGGCACGATTCAGGGCCGTCTCCTTTCATTACCCAGCATCCTTCAGAAGTAAAGGATCTGATAGAGGGTTGTTCACATCAATGTAGGAGGTCTGGTGAGCGCAAGCAGGATTCAGAAAGTCTACTTCCCACCTCTTTACCCTTGTCAGGTCAAAGGCCTGTTGACAGCTTCTCCACTCCAAGCCTTTCAAGTAGGGCTTAGGTTTCCTGACCCAACACGTTGCTGAGATAAGTAGAAATCTCCGCTGGGCTGAAGGGTCGTATTTTGTGAGCAGACTACATTTTTTCCTTGGTTGAACTGGTAAAAAACTCTAAATCCTCAACCCTATCCTTAATTTTTCTATGTAAGTGGCATATTACAAGAGTCTCAATCTTCTTTTCCACCTCCTACCTCCTACTATATGTCCCTATTTTACCTCATATGTCCCTACTATAGCCCAAATGACCACCCTAAACCCTAAACCAGATAACCCTATGGGCCATGCCAGGTGGAAGGAGAAACCATGGAAGAACTCCAGCGAGAGCTTGAGGCTGCTGCCTAATCCCCTCCACATAGCTATTGGGCTTTAGGGTTCAGAGTTTAGTGTGTAGGGTTCCCAACCCCGCATGAACTGTAGTCTAAACTCCAGAAAGGCGAGTTGTATACTATACGGGATTATTCAGGGGAGTTTTATAGGGGGTAGTAGGCGGGTGCAGCTGGTCCCCAATACTTTTGAGTGTCTCTGCACTACATACAGACATGTCGGGCAGCCGTGGATGGTCCCGAAGGTCTCTCTGATCCAGGCGATACATAGCTACGAATGTTCATAGTTAGGACCCAATGTAGCAATGATTACATGGCGCTAGCACATCCAGTCCAATGGCCCTATTAATTTTGCTTCTTACCGAGCTGCCCTAATATAACTATGAAGCTACTTGAAGGTGTTTTTTTTAAAAAATTGTAGCTTCAGAGCATTCACATACGGTTCCCAGACCCTGTGAGCCCACCGACACACATAGAGCAGCAAGCATCCTCTAATTGCTTGTTGTGCGTAGGAATCCTCATGAGATCTCTGGAAGTTGTAAAATGATCAGAATTCAACCCTTTTCTTCAAAATCCAAACCACCTGCCACCTGCCCACTTGAACTACGGTCTTGCTTGGAGGTCGTGACCTGTGCAAAGCCGTGTGCGTCCATCGAGACGCAGACGGAAGGTGATGCTGAAGAGGTGCCGGAGGACGGCACCAAAATACGGACGTGAACTTCTAAGCTTCAGGGTTCGCAAGTAAGCGACCACACCAGAAGCCTACACAGTTGATAAGATGAACCACTTTTTCATGGAACGGGCTACCCCTAAATCCTCTGACAGTCATGTATGTCCTAAACCCGAAGCTTTCTCTAAACCTTCAAGCGGTAGGCCCGATAAATAGGGGAACCTAAAATAAACCCCAAAATACTATAATCCTTATTCTTGGGACCCCCAGGATGGTACCCCTAATTTTGGGAAACCCTAAACCTTAACCCCGAAACCCCTCTATAACCCCTATAAACCTCTTTGGGGATTAGTTTCCCCAAAGGGGTTTATTCCCTAAACCCCTCTATAATCCCTATAAACCGCTTTCGGAAAACTGATCCCCAAACCCCTCTATAACCACTATGAACGGCTATAAACGCTTTTGGGAAACGAATCCTAAACCCCTTTATAACCCTAAACCCTAGACGCCTCTAGAACCCCTACCGACCCCTTTTGGGAGATTCCCAAGTCTATCAGAATCTGATGGAGGACTGTGCAGACCGCTGGTTCTCCGGCTTTGTCGACGACCTTCCAGCACGCAATGCTCAGTCCAGCACGAAGGCCTGGTCGTTTAGGGGTTTGGGGTTTAGGAGTTGAGGGAGTTAAGGGTTCAGGAGTCTAGGGAGTTAGGATTTAGGAGTCTAGGGTTCAGGGCAACCCCTCCCAGACAGTACCACCATCATATACAGAATACTATTACAGTACTAATACTGGTCTTCAAGAAAAGTGGCAGAGAAAGCTATACCTGCTTTTTTGAAGGAAATGCTGCTCCCAAACGGCCAATGTCATCGCTAATCCCCATCATTATGCAGGTACACTTGCTTTTCAGGGAAGACCGCTAACAAGCTCATATTCGGACGTAGTAGAGACATTCCAGTAGCATGAAGCCGAGAAAAGTTTCAAGAGTGAAAGCCATGACACCCATCGATATAGTATACCGGTCAAACTTACTCATGATGATAGAAGGCATGCTGGCAACAATGACAACACCGACAGCAACAACCACAACAGCAACAACACCAACAGCAACAACAGCAACTGCAGCAGCAGCAGCAGCGGCGGCGGCGGCGGACGACAACCACAACCACAACCACAAAGAGAGTGACCACGACAACGACCACGAGGACGTCCACCACCACCACAACATTTTTTCATTCACACGCAGCGAGGAATTCATGTCCTGGTTAGGTGAGAAATACTCGCTTTGCGAGCAGTGAGTCTAACTGATGCGAGTCTAATGCTACTTAGTGCTGCTACCTGTCGTTGCTGACTAATGACCCATGGCCATCTTCGATCCGGCGAGGCTCTCTGCTGAGCTCAACCGCTGGTATACCTTGGCATTCTTCTAAGAGCACTGCTGGATCATAAGTGCTGGCACGGCAAGAGATTTTTTTAAAAAAATTCCTTGGCTGATCACAGCTGCTGCTCCAACAAAAAGTCAAAGCCTAGAGAGAATCTGACTGGCTGGGAGCAACTCCTCACACAGAAGACAGGCCGCCTGAACATGAGGCATGCTCTCGGAGGACTCGATAGTGCGCTGCTTGC